GGAAAAGCCTTTGTTACAAGCTCTAATCTTAGAGAACATGAGAGAACTCATACTGGAGAGAACCCATATAAATGTCCTCTATGTGGAAAAGCCTTTGTTGAAAGCTCTAATCTTAAAGAACTTGAGAGAACTCATACTGCAGAAAACCCGTATAAATGTCCTCTATGTGGAAAAGCCTTTGTTACGAGCTCTTGCCTTTGAAGACATGAGAGAACTCACTTTAAATGTAGTGAAAGAACGTGGAAGAGCCTTCAGCCACAGCTCTAATCTATAATCCGAGAATTCATAAGTGGGGGAAATTTATGGCCATATTCATTATGGAAATGCCTTCATTTTAAGTTTATCCTTACACAACATGAGTGAACTCCATTTGGAGGAACGCAATATTTATCATCAAGGAGGAAGAGACATTAGCTGATCTCCGGTTGTAGGGTGCACAAGAAAATTCAGTATGAATGATAATGTAATCTCCCTGGAATGGGAAATTACACAGGAGAATCTTACAAAAGGAGGTCACTCTAGGAGAATAACAAAAATTGATGCTGGGGAGCTTATTCATTGTAATATGCATGGAAAAAACATTTACTAGTAGAAAAACTATTGTAGGCATGTGAAGTTTCACACTGTAGAATAGTGAATGAATGGAAGTCTTCAGTGATTTTTAATTCCTTAGTCAACATGCAATTTCTCACATTGTATATATGCCATTGCTAAAATCAGATGGAAGGTTAGAGTTTGCATTAGAAATTCCTGACTAGGAAAAACATCTATCGAGAATGTCTAACCCCACAGTTTAGACATTAATTTATATTTTTGCCTGATGGCCTATTATAAAAATGTAAGAAACATATGTAGGATTGTGACATCATCTGGGAATTCTGAATGCAGAATTTTATGACAATGATTTTTTTTCTTAATGGACTAGTATGTAGAACTGCATATGAGGCAAAGTTGTTGCTAAAATATCCATTATATTGGTTAGGTCCTATTTTTCATACAGCAATAATTATGATTGGGTCCAACTAGAAAGTAACGTTGAATATTAACTGAAAAACAGCACAGGATGATGTGTCATTACTACATATTGTTAACCATGTATGTAGATTATAATGATGAATTAAAGATTAATACATAGTTTGTGACCGAATTCTGCATAAATTTTTATTTTAGAATGGCGTTGAGACAATGAAGCGTATCACCTGACAATAAGGGGGGTCAGTTCAACAGCAGGATAGTAGAAACTCTGTAAATATTTGTGCATCCAACATAGGAACACCTACATATAGGGGCACCTGGGTGGCTCAGTCGGTTAAGCATCTGCCTTTGGCTCAGGTCATGATCTCAGGGTCCTGGGATCGAGTTCCACGTTGGGCTCCCTGCTCGGAAGGGAGTCTGCTTTTCCCTCCCTCTGCCCCTCTCCCCCTGCTCATGATCTATCTCTTCGACTCTCAAAATCTTTTAAAAAATGAACACCTACGTATATAAAACAAACACATGTAAAGGGAGAAACAGTAATACAATGATAGGAGGGGAACTTGAATACACAATTTCATCAATGGCTAAACCAGACAAAATCCGTAAGAAAACATGAGCCTTCAATGACACATTAGATCAGATGGATCCTGAGCACTCCATCCATCACAAACAGCACAGTGCATCCTCAAGTGCACAGGAAAACGCTCCAGGATTGACCATATGTCGGTACCAGAGGACAACCGTTTTCTCTTTTACCCCAGCCATGTAGTTGCCCGTCTGTTTCTCATAAAAACCCCTTGCTTTCACCCCGTACGTGGGACACTTCTGGTTACTGCTGGAATCTGTACTCCCCAAAGCACAATTCTTCAACCCCAAATAAACTTTTCTCGTCGGTCTCTTGTGGCAGCTCTTCTCAGTTTGGCAGATGTTTGCCACCAGGTACTACAGAACGAGACCCAGGAGGGCCGACTTTGGTAGGAAGTGACGAGTTTCAGGACCCCATTTGCAGCCCAAGAAAAGTGTGTCCCTCTGTGCCGCAGAAGGTCTCAAAACAGAGCACCAAAACTTTGAGGTGAAAGAATTGCCCCTAATTTCTTCTAGGGGTTCCTGGCTCGGATACCCTACCCTGGATGGGGTCAAGGGCATGGAGGGAGAGGACCCCTGGACAGGAGCTGCAGGTGACTGGGGTGAAGCGGAGCAGCGACCTGGGCAAGAGCAGGGCGGGTGGGGAGGAAGAGGGGCAATGGGAGGCTCTAGCGCTGGAGAGAGTAGATGCTCCTGTTGGGGGGGGGGACGGGGGTTGGCTCCCGGCAAAACCAGTTCAGAGGACAGGCCCAGAGAGGAGGGGAGCCAAGGCAGGTGAATGGAGGAATCAACCCGTCAAAATGCATTCCCAGGAGACAGCGAACAGCGTTCTAAGAAAAGAGGGCAAAGTAACCAGATGGACCTCCTTGGGTGGAGGGGAGTGGGGCATGGGGCGACGTGAGCAGGGGGCAGATGAAGCCCTCAGACGAAGGGGAGAGGCTGCTGGTTTGTATGTGAAGTGGCTAGCAAGTACATGGGGGTCTACTACAGTAAAGTCAAGCCCCCAGCAACAAGACCCATGATCTCCCATTTTGGAGCTGGGGCCGTAGGTCCTTGTATGTGGGAGAGAACAACGTGACCTGTCACTGTAGGAGCTCACGCAACTTCCATCACAGTCATCCCCAGGTTTTATATTTTTATGCCTTTGTAAATCTCATGTTTTAACTTACATTTATTCATCGCTAACAGATAAGTATAATTGACTTATATGACCTTGAATTATCTGAACTTGGTAAGTTTAATAACTTTCTCAGCACTTTTTTTTTAGTTGGATTTTCTGCATACACAGTCACTTCATGTACACATAGTCTTCTTTCCCAATTTTTTGTTCTGCTGTAGTCTTATTACCGAGCGTAGCTCCTGCCTGTATGTCAGATGTAGAGCGAGCCGACTGTTCCAAGTGGCAGTAAGGGTACGGGGGTGGGGCGAGCAGTCGGTCCTATTGTGGCCGATTATACTCGGAAAACAGTCTTTCTATACGACCTATGATGGAAGTGAAAGTTTTCTCATGCACTTTTTTTTTTTTTTTAAGATTATATTTATTTGAGAGAGAGCATGAGCGGGGGGAGCCACAGGAAGAGACAGAGGGAGAAGCAGACTTCCTGCTAAGCAGGGAGCCAGACATGGGACTCGATCCCAGGACCCTGAGATCATGACCTGAGTTGAAGGCAGACGCTTCACTGACTGAGCCACCCGGGCGCTCCCTCTCATGCACTTTCTAAATGACGATTTCCTAACACTCGTGTCCTCAGCGAGGAGTTGGTCAGGTCTCTCAGGCTGGCAGTGAAGATGGGTCTTGTAAATTATTTTAGAGGGAGTGCGTGAGCAGGGGTGGGGCAGGGAGCGGCACACGCAGAACGTGGAGACTGATGCAGGGCTCGATTCCACAACCCTGAGATTGTGACCCAAGCCCAAACCAAGAGTAGGCCGCCCAGGCCCCCTACTTGTTGGATGTGATTGGTGCAGGGATTTTGCCTGGTGTGCTCTACGGGCAGTGAATGAGGAACGGTGGGGCCTCAGCCTGGCACAGTGACTGCAGAGGGCAAGGCACTCTCCCAGGGGAGGGGGGTGCCCACCAACGTGACATGTCCCCCATATCAAACCACACAAGGATGTCTGTGTTTGTCCCTCACAGGTTGGGTGACTGACCCATAGGGCATCCGTTGCTGACTCCTTGGAGGCATTCAAACTGCTGTCCCCATGATCACTGACCCTACAAGACCCCCAAATCACAAACTGCAGATCGTAGCCCCAAACTTACAGGATTTCCACTACACATTTCAGTAACTCTGCCCCTAGTCTTCCCTTCTCCAGAGCCCCTGCAAGTCCCACAGGCCTGACCCCACAATGCTGGTTTCACTTTTCCCAGGCTCCCCAGTGGGCGCGCTCTGTGAGTCTTTACTGAATTGCTGAGCTGGTGCTTTCTACCTCGTGTGCCCTCTAAGACAGTCATCACACACACTGATCCCACACTGGACACAACACCCTCAACACATGCAAACCCTGACACGTGCGTGTGCGCAGATGAGATCTGGTAACACGTGTCTGTGTTCTGACAGTCACATGTGCACCCCCCACCCTGACCACACTCAACAGACAAATAGTGGCCAACACCCTCAGTCGGACAAACCAGGGAAACAACTGTGCAGATCCGAGGGCCATATACTCTCTGGCCATCCTTATATGCAGGGAATCTGGCTGTGCATGTGTGTCTTGATCATGAGGCATATCACACTTGGACATTGACACGGAAACCCAGGGCTTGGCAGGGAGAAGCTCAAAGCCCATGCACAGAGCCATACTGCCTCATTCTTGGCAGATAGTGTAAGACGCAGGTGGAGCCCAAGGGTCTGCATCTGAGGTGTTTGCTACAAACATACCAGCAAAAAGATCAATGGGAAAAATGCAGAAAGGGACACCTGGGTGGCTCAGTCGGTTAACATCTGCCTTTGGCTCAGATCATGATCTCAGGGTCCTGGGATCGAGTCCCGCATCGGGCTCCCTGCTCAGCGGGAAGCCTGCTTCTCCCTCTCACTCTGCTCCTACCCCTGCTTGTGTTCCCTCACTTTGTCAAATCAATCAATAAAATCTTTTTAAAAAATGCAGAAAATGTAACCAGGGTCCCATAAGAATGCATTAAAGATTCAGTATGAATCCAGATGGTCAATTAGGAGGATTTGTCCTCAGAACAGTCCTATTGCTCTTAAAATATGGATGTAAGTGTTTTGTACATAAAAATATTAAAGCATTCTTTGCTTGAAAATACATGAAGTAAAAGAATGTCAGTTTCTGCCATGAGGGAGTAGATTTTATTGGTCCAACCCATAAAAAGCAATACTAAAATCTGGTTAAAATATACAAATCTTTGAAGACATTGCTACGTAGATGTTTAAACAGGAGTTTCTGGGGTACCAGACGAAGAGGACTGCCTCACGCACACTGGTGTTTCTATGGAGGCAACTGAAAACCATCAGGGAGCGAGAATGAAGTCCCAGGAGAAAAGTGGGGCCTTTCTGGGCTTAGTAGAAATAAGGTGGAATTTTGTGCAAGCAAAATACTGGGGCTTCTGCTTCCCAGTAAGACGTGGTGAGCAGAGGTGACGTGGCAGTAGGAAATATTCGCTTAAAGGGTGTATTTGTGAAAGTTAGAGAGTTGTGGGGCCAAAAAGTTTCCCTGAACTAAGATGCTGCAGAGGTAAAAGTCCTCACCGGGGGCAGTGAGATCACCAGGCGTTTCCACACCTGAAGACCTTGCTTAGTGTGGACACTGGCAGTCTTAGGGAGAAAGACGTCACAAGTGAGTAAAAACAAGCTAACGGGCACAGTCCCCCAAAACAGGGCTGCAGGCTAGGAGGTGGGGGTGGCAAGAAAGGTGCTATAATACCATCCCACGGTATTTGGGGGATTGCTTCCAACTGCAGGAAGACATCTGCAGTGGCTATTTTTTTTAATAAAGATTTTATTTATTAGAGAGAGAGCAAGCACAAGTTGGGGGAGGATCGGAGGCAGAGGAAGAAGCAGGCTTCCCGCTGAGCAGGGTCCCGATGCAGGAGTCAATCCCAGGACCCTGGGATCATGACCTGAGCTGAAGGCAGAGGTTTACCGACTGAGCCTCCCAGACGCCCCTTATTACTTTTAAAGTTTTGATGGCACTATTAACCGTCCTTTTAAAGGAAGATAACTCTTGCACCATCAGTGTTTACTTGATCTGTTAATAAAGAATTTCTGACGATTTTTCGTAAAGTAACTTCTCCAGCATGAATTATCCTATTTTCATAGAAGATTTAATCCTTCTGGAGATTTCTTTTTCACTTATTTCCTGTTTTAGCAGTTACCCTACACTAAATTTTCTTGTGCACACCAAGGCGATGTTTAGCCCAACAAGCATGCATATTGAGTACAGACTTATAGTTTTTGTTTGTTTGATTAAAACACATTTCTGTAGAGTTCTTCCAATATAGTTTTTGCATCTATGAACATGAGCACATCATTTTCTCGTTTCTGTTAATATAGTTGTTTTAATGGATATCCTAAATCTGACTCACACTTGCATCCTGACATAAAGGTCCCTTGATCATGGCACAATATT